TGCTTGGCTGGGAGGGAGTGAATAAAAGCAAAAGACTGTGCAATATGCAGAATGCTGTTTCCTTCCTTACACAACTTTAATGCATGGATCCCTCACAGCCAAGATTTTAAGTGTGAAAATTCTGTTAAAAAAACCCCAAACAAGTACTTTTCCCTTTTGAACCAGCACTGTCAACAGAAGAAGAGATCTCATCTCTCCTGCTGATACCAACACAAACATGTGTGGTGGAGCACACAGTGACCTGGTTAAAACCAGACTGGTTTAACAAGCCCCAAGCACCCCAAACAGTTGGTTTGATCCCACACCAATTCCCCAATCTGTTCTGATCTGCAGCCACGCAAACACCTACACTGATAGAAGCAGGGAGAGAAAACTGCTCCCTTCATCAGCAGTGCTGGCTGAGAGCGAAAATCAGACTGAAGACCTTCTGGTGTTTGTAGGCTTTCTTACCAAAGTTAGCACAGCAAAACTTCCACTGAAAAACAGATTAGAGGCCAAGTTCAGAATCAGTATGAGACGTAACAGAGCTTTACATAAACTTTCAGATGAGCTCTGAGCCTCAGCCCAGATGACAATTCATCTCCACGCTGCCTGTGCTGCTGGAAACAAAATCAATTTAAAAGTCTGCAGTAGATGCAAGGAACAAACTTTAGACTTAGCTTAAAATACATGAAAGTCAGCTAAGGAAGAATAGCAAAGAACAAGTTGAAAAACAGAGCCTTTAAGTTTTTTGAACAAAATCCACCTTGGAAGTCTCAATGAGAGAACTTGAGCTATCAAGGTAAAGGTGGAGATGGACTATTCTGCAATATTAGAGCAACTTCTTCCCTTTATAGATAGAAAATCTATATTAGATTTTCTCTAATACAAATATCCAAGGAAAAACGCCCCAGGTATCATACCCTCTCAAAAGTTTGCTTTGTTACTTTAATTCCTAATGTCAGCCAAGAGTATAACTTCCTTCTGAAAGGTTACTTGCCTGTAAATTTTCAAAGAATCTTCCCCTTTTTTATTATTTATTAGAATGAGTGTATTCTAGTTTCATACTATCCATAACAATATATATAAAGGCCTTCAGCTTCTATTTTGATTTAATAAAATTAGACTTCTTTATAGCAGCAAAGGTAAATAGAATTTAGAAAACAAACTTGACCAGTAAGTTAGTATAAATATTTCAAAGGTTTTGAATGAAGTTTTTAAATAACCAGCCAAAAAGAACCAGCCAAGCAACACCAGTTACTTATATCATCAAAATGTTTCTGTAGAGGTAGATCATTCTCTAAAAAGTGATGCAAAATCTTTGGCTAACCTAAGAAACAGAAAAAACTTAAAATGTAAGCTCAAAAAATCTGCTGTTTTTATATTGTGTGACATGAAGTATTTAAGTAATAATTATTAATTATAGTTTATATATATATATATACATATATATGTATATAATATACATAATATATGTATACTTAATATATTGATGTAGCATTTAATATCAATGTGTTATTAATATCTTTAATAACTAAAATATTTTTAATAACTAAAATACTTTTCTTTTAAAGAAAGAACAAGGTCCGTGATCTGACTTATGAGCAGCTAAATCAGTTCAGAGATATTACTGGGCACTGAATCACAGTCCTGGGGGAGAACAAAAGTCTCCAAACCCCAGCCATAATTGCACCTTTGGGACCTTATTATTCAGAATAATAAAAATTCATTAGCTATAATGTGGTTATTTCTAATACAAACACATTCCTCCTAGCATGCTATGGCTTCTCCTCTGAAAGTCAATATTCAGAAGGGTCTCTCTGGCTGCATCATTTGATGTAGAAAAGCTCAGAAAAGTAGAGCTCTGGTGCAGTTTTATGGTGGAACCTGCCTCACATCATTAAAGTTTTAGATTGTTTGCCAATACAAGGATTGTTCTCTTGCTTCAGGTGCTCTCTCCCAAAATTCCCACTGCACCATTTGTCATATGTTTATCTGTCTTCAGAATAATAATTGTATAGATGGTGGCTTAGCTGTCTGTATCAAACTTTCTCGGTGTAACAAAGTTACAGAACATTTCATATTTATTTTCATCAGATACTATGAGCCCAGTGATGTCTAAAAATCTTACTGTGTTTGGAATTTAGCGAGAGCATAAATTTATCTCTGACTGCCAGCCTTCCCTCAGACCTCAGGTAGGGAATTTTGAAAGCCATAAACCACAGGAAGATAAAATGTGATTTTTGGGTACCAGATGCAGGCAAGTGTAAAATCATGAGGGAACAAGACACGCTTCAATTTCATGAGGCCCATTTATACATTTAGCACTCACACAGAGCCCAGACAGGTTTATTGTGTAGTACTTGAACGTTCAAACCAAGGCAGGCTCAGCACGAGGAGAGCGTGAGACAGCCCTGAGCACAGCCACGATGATTAAACGCTGTGGGTTTGTGTTTGTGTTCCCTGGGGGATGTGTGAAGAGCTGGAATGCTGGCAACAAGTCCTGAGGAAAGCCTCGGAACAGAATTAAATGTGAATTTATTAAAAAAAAAAATTAAAAGAAAGAGGAGGAAAAACAATTGAAGAAGGGGTGCAGAATTGTAATGACCTAAATAAATTAAGATGAAGCAGTGGTGGGGGGGAAGACTAAATGTTAGGCCTGCGTGGTGAGCATCACCTCATTGTGCTTGGTTTGGTGGGACAGCACAGTTTGGGGGGACTCTGAGGGGACAGTGAGGGGACATTCAGAGAAGCCTGAAGGGACCATGAAGGGATAGTGAGGGGACATTCAGAGAAGCCTGAAGGGACCATGAGGGGACAGTGAGGGGACATTCAGAGAAGCCTGAAGGGACCATGAAGGGATAGTGAGGGGACATTCAGAGAAGCCTGAAGGGACCATGAAGGGATAGTGAGGGTACCCTGAGGGGAACGCTGGGGGTACCCTGTGAGGAGCACTGGGGGGACCCTCAGGGAAGCCTGAAGGGACCCCAAGGGGACAGTGAGGGGGCAATGAGAGGATACTGGGGGTAGCCTGTGGGGAGCACTTGAGGATACCATGAAGGGACAGTGAGGGGACAGTGAGAGGACCTTCAGAGTAGCCTGAAAGGATTGTGAGGGGACAGTGAGGGGACAATGAGGGGACCTTCAGAGAAGCCTGAAGGGACCATGAAGGGATAGTGAGGGTACCCTGAGGGGAACGCTGGGGGTACCCTGTGAGGAGCACTGAGGGGACCATGAAGGGACAGTGAAGGGACAGCGAGAGGACCTTCAGAGAAGCCTGAAGGGACAGTGAGGGGACAACGAAGGGACCTTCAGGGAGGCCTGAAGGAACCATGAAGGGATAGTTAGGGGACCCTGAGGGGATTCTGGGGGTACCCTGTGAGGAGCACTGGGGGGACCCTCAGGGAAGCCTGAAGGGATCCTGAGGGGATAGTGAGGGAACACTGAGAGGAGCACTGAGGGGACAGTGAAGGGGCAATGAGGGGACACTGAGGTTATCATGAGCGAAGCACTGAGGGGACACTGAGTGGAGCACCGAAGGTACCACGAGTGGAACACTAAGGGGACAGTGAGTGGAGCACGAAGAAGACCCTGAGGGGAGCACCGAGGGGATACTGAGCACTGAGGGGACTCTGAGTGGAGCACTGAGAGGACACTGAGCAGCAAGGGGACGCTGAGCACTGACGGTACACTGAGTGGAGCACCGAGGGGACGGACGCTGAGCACTGAGGGGACGCTGAGCACTGACGGTACACTGAGT